TATCGTAGTAAGAAAGATTATATAATTTTATATCGTATTTATATATCTTAAATTATCGTAATAGAAAGATGTATACCTTCATGTTTATGTGTCTTAAATTATCGTAATAAGAAAAATTATATAATTTTAGATCGTATTTATGTATATCTTAAATTATCACAGTAAGAAGGATACATACCTTCATATCGTATTTATATATTTTAAATTATCGTAATAAGAAAGATTATATATTTTTATATCATATTTATATCTTAAATTATCATAATAAGAAAGATATATATATATATATACCTTCGCATCGTATTTATGTGTCTTAAACTATCACAATATGAAAGAATATATACCTTCATACCGTATTTATATATCTTAAATTATCGCAATAAGAAATGAAATGGCTTACTACATGAAATGGCTTGCTACATGAAGTGGCTTACTAACATGAAATGGCTTACTACAAGAAATGGCTTTATGAAATGGCTTACTTCACGAAATGGCTTACTACTACATGGAATGGCTTACTACATGTTTGAATTTGAAATCTAATAGAAAAATAATTTGAAATCTAATAGGAATATATATATGAAATATTTAATGAAATATTGAAATCTTACAATTATTATGGCATGCTTTCATTTTATTTACTTCAATTTGAAATTTTAAAAAAATAGAAATTTTATCTAAAACAGCTTACTACATGAAATGGCTTACGACATGTTTGAATTTGAAATCTAATAGAAAGATATTAATATATATGAAAAATTTAATGAAATATTTAAAGGTGAAAAAAAAGGTTAAATAAATTGAAATCGGAAATTTTTAAGTTATCATCGTGATTCTTATCTTTTAAACAATAAAGAGAGAGAGAGAGAGAGAGAAGAGAAAAAAAAGGGAAGAAATATTGCTTTTTTCCTTATTTCATAGATAAAATCCTGTTAATCCCATTTTAACAATTATTTAAGTAACATCATTTTCGTTTTGAAAAAAAATTATTTTCCATCAATTCATCTTAAAATTTTATTTTTTTTCAAAAGTAAAAATAGTGGGAAGAAATACGAAGAATTGATAAAAAGTTGCAAAGAAAATAAACGACGAAATAATCAGAAAACGATAATTATTATTTTAATCATCCGGAAAATGTATCAATAAAAATGTTTCGTTTTTATTTTTAAATAATTCCTAATAATAATTTTATTTTTTTGCAATCCTAAAAATTTGAAATGATTCGAAATAATGATAATGCTTTTTCTTTGTTTTTAATAATATGTTTACTTTTTCTTTTTTTTGTTCTTTTCTTGTCAATCCTAAAATTTGAAATGGTTCGAATCAATAATAATGCTTCTTTTCCTTATTTGTTTTCAATAAATATGTTTACTTTTTTTATTCTTATTTCAATCCTAAAATTTAAAATGATTTGAATTAATAATAATGTTTTTTTCTTTTTCTTTATTTTTAATAATATGTAAAATCAGAAACGACAATTATTATTTTATTCATTCTGAAGATGTATCATAAAAATGTTTCGTTTTTTATTTTGAATAATTCCTAAAAATAATTTTATTTTTTCAAATCCTAAAATTTGAAATGATTCGAAATAATAAAAATGTTTTTTTCTTTTTCTGTTTTTAATAACATGTTTTTTTTTTTTGTTCTTTTTTTCTTGTCAATCCTAAAATTTGAAATGGTTCGAATGAAAAATACACGAATTTATTTATTTTATTAAGAAAAATAAAAGAGAAATAAGAAATGATAGTTTTTCATTTTAATGGCATCAACATTTTTTCTTTCAATTTCTAAAAATTAATTAATTTTAAAACAAAACAACACAAAAAAAAAGAAAGAAAGAAAAGAAGGATAAGAAATTATTATGTTTGCGTTTTTTTATTTTATTTACTGCAAAATAATATTTGCATGCAAAATTGCAATTCTAATTTATCAAAAAGAATGGTAAAGGAAGAAAGCGAAGCTTATGCTTTTCATAAATTATTGACAAATTTTAAATTATAAATTTAATTTTCTTAAATTCATATTCAATTTATTTAAAAAAAAAAGAAAGTAATGCAAAATGCATGCAATTATTATAAGCCTTTTTAAATAAATAAGACAAAATTAAAATTTATTCAATTTTCTTCTTCTTTTCTTTCCATCTATTTTTATGCGAAAGAATTTGTGAAAGGAAGCAAAAGATTTAATGTAAAATTTAATTTTTGAAAACAGTTTCTTTTCAAGTTTATTTAATTTGTTATTCATTTAATATTATAATTTCCATTACATATTAAATCGATACTGTTCAATAAAAATTACACGTCGATATTGTTTAATAAAAATTACACGTCGATATTGTTCAATAAAAATTACACGTCGATATTGTTCAATAAAAATTACACGTCGATATTATTCAATAAAAATTACACGTCGATATTGTTCAATAAAAATTACACGTCGATATTATTCAATAAAAATTACACGTCGATATTGTTCAATAAAAATTACACGTCGATATTGTTCAATAAAAATTACACGTCGATATTGTTCAATAAAAATTACACGTCGATATTGTTCAATAAAAATTACACATCGATATCATTCAATAAAAATTACACGTCGATATTGTTCAATAAAAATTACACGTCGATATCATTCAATAAAAATTACACGTCGATATCATTCAATAAAAATTACACGTCGATATCATTCAATAAAAATTACAGGTGAAAGTAAAACTTTTGAAAGAGAGAAAGACAAATTTCATGAATGAAATTTTTAGGTATGAAAAAAAGAGAGAAAGAAAAAAGCAAGAAAACTTTTATAACTTATTTCTTATGAAAGATTAGGAATGAAAGAAAGTCAATATAATTAACAAATGATTAAATGGAAGTAAAAGGGTAAGAAGATTGTGTAATTAACAAATGATTAAATTTAACATATGATTAAATTAATAATTAACATATAATAAATAGGTTTATTAACATGAATTTATCAATTAACATATAATTAATAAATAAATACTTCATTGAATATAAAAATGTACTGTTAACAGACGATTAATTCAAATAATAATATTAAATAATTTCACTTGTAGTAATTGAAATTTTAATTATGTAAATAATGACAGAAAAGCAATTATTTGTAAATTATATTTTATTTTGAATTTCTCACATATCATTTCATTAATTCAAGCATTTCTTAATTCTTTTCCATTTCATTTAATCAACAATTCCTTTTAATTTAAAATTTATACGAATTTATAGGAAAAAAATTTTTTCCAAAATTATTGTTTTTACTAATCAGAAATTAATATCACATTCATTTAATTACATTTAATTATATTTACAACGAGCAAATTTATTGTAATAATTTTTTTCACATTATTTTTTCACTTCACAAATAATTTTACTAATTTAATTTTAATTACGAATGTTAATTTTTAATTACTTTCACATTAATTATTCTTCCACACCACAATTAATTTTATTAATTCAATTTTCAATTACGAATATAATTTCTAAGAAAATTTGTTCCATTTTTAATTTGGCATTAAAATAATCAATTAATTTATATCAATTTAAAATTAAAAACTTGAAATACCTTTAATTTATATCAATTTAAAATTAAAAATTTGAAATAATATTATTTATTATTTACACTTTTTTAAATTTGCATATTAAAAATTATCACATCAACAAAATTAGCAAAAAAAATTGAAACAATAATTATAATGATATGTATACATAATATGTATGTATTATATGTATCTATGTTGATTTTACTATACGAAATACAATTTGTCAACTAAGATAGAAAGAGGAGGAAGTATTGAATTGATATAAGTACACAAAGATGAGACAAATCTTAAGAAGTAATGCACGATATATCATCAATTGTATTCCCTATTACTAATACTAAATTAACATTTAAATTATTATAGTCGTAATGTATGCGATATATATCTATCTATGCCTGTATGTGTGTGTGTGTATGTACTTAATAGATATTTATTTTATTCTTACCATTATATAACGGTAACATTTACAAACAAACGATACAACTTTCCTAAATTAAACATCACGAAAGAAAAATATTGAAGTAATAAATAAATAGTTGATATTTGTAACATTTATTCGTTCATTTCAATTAGTAGTTGCTATTTGTTGTTGTTGTTAGTAGCAATGTGATACTAGTAATAGTAATTATTAATAGAAATGATACTAGCAGTTGTTAGTAGCGATGGTACTAGTAATAATAGCTGTTGATAACAATGGTACTAGTTGTTTTCAGTGGTAATGATACTAGTAGTAGTTGTTAATAACAATGGTACCAGTTGTAGTTGTTAGTAGAAATGGTACTAGTAATAGTAGCTGTTAATAGGAATGATATTAACAGTAGTTGTTGTTAATAACAATGGTACTAAAAGTTGTTTTCAGTAGCAATGGTATTAGTAACAGTAGCTGTTAATAGAAATGATACTAGCATTGTCGTTAGTAGCAATGGTACTAGTAATAGTAGTTGTTAATAGAAATGATACTAGCAGCAGTTGTCAACAGCAATGTTACGAGTAGTAGTAATTGTTAATAACAATGGTACCAATAGTAGTTGTTGTTTTTAGTAGCAATGGTATTAGTTGTTCTAGTAATAATAGTAGCAGTAATAGTGGTGGTAGTAATAATAGTAGTAGAAATGTGTAAATTAATAAAAAGTTGGCTAATTTGTTTTAAATCCATTTTCATTTATCTTTATCTTTCATGAATTATATTTACATTTTATAATTGAATATGAAGTACCAAATTTCGTTTTTATTAACAACTACTATTACTAATACCATTATTACTAACAATAATGCTAATATCATTTCTATTAACAATAAAGTATAATACTTAAGTAATAAATTTAATCATACATTATCTTTCGATATCATTGCTAAAATCAGATATTATAAAAACTTTGATGCTTATTATTTCATATCATGTTTATAGCAGAAATAATTTTACAATTATGATTCCAGGATGTTTTTACAGTGGTTGCTATGGTATACTGTAGCAATTGCAGTAAGCGCAACCGAATTTGACAGTTGGAGGAAAATTGGTAAAAATTTTGCATCATCTAAAATTAACTAGCAAAATTATTTAGTTATTCTTGGTATACTGTAAGCAACAATTGAGAATGCTTTAACTATAATTGAAGGAGTATATTAAAAGAACAGGAATATATCAACGATAATATATCTCTTCCAGAAAATGATATCAAATGAGTACATTAGAATATCAGCGATATTATATGCAACTGTAAAGGTTATCATAGCTAAATAATAACAATTTCAGGAAGCAGAATTCCATGGTATTTGTCATCAACTTCTGGTTCACATACATTCACAAATTACGACAGTAATGGATGGAAACCATATTCAATAATAGATGATGGATTACCACATCATCAAATGACAACATATAACCAAAATAGCGCATCTCAATTATTGGTATTATATTTTAAAACTTCTACAATTTATGAGATGAGAAAAATAAAATTTTATAGCATAAATGAATGTAGTAGACCTTTTATAGGGAAATGGGGAATTACTGTGGAACATTCGAAATGTACTTCAAAAGTTGAGTTCTCAAATAAACATAAACGATTTACATCCCATATGGAATAGTATTAAGAATGGTAAGTGCAATATTTTGCGATGTTAAAATGATCGTTTATGATGGAGATATTATACTGTATGACATTTTTTAAAAAGTTTCCCAAAATAGTTTATTCTTAATAACAAATGTGCATATTTTTTACTCAGGTGAACTGAGTAAAAAAATCGAAATGTTTCTCCAACAGCAACAACAAGAAAGACAATCCCAGAATAATGGTTATGATACACTTTGGAAAGAACGAAGACGATTTATGCCTCAACGATGATAAATTATAATATTAGAGCGGGTTTAAATTTTTTTTTTACCAAATCTGAAATGATGATATAAATAGTGTATGTAGCATCTAAAAATAATGATAATAATAACAATATGATAATAGAATGAAGCTAACAAGTAAATTGTAATCATAATAAGACAATATATTTGCACAGTTTCCACACAGCTATATCACAATTAGTAATAGAACTTCGAATTTCGAATTAGATCTTAATCAAGCAAGATCGATCTTCATCTAAGACAATGTTCATCTGTAAACGTCAATATAAAATCTTCTCATGTAAAGGCTAAGCTTTTGTAAAACATGTAAATTTCGTCAAAAAGTCTGATGGATAGTATGAGGTACCACACACAATAACACGACATTGCATTATTTAAAGACACAAAATATGTCTAGCAATACATCATCCAATCATCAATAACAGCAGGCTTTTATTCTTTTCGAAAATGGATCATTAATTTAAGATATCACTGTGGGAGATTGCGATAAGATTACTTTATAAACAGTTTCAATGCAGTAAACAAAAATTATTTGATTTTGGAGTTTCAGAGGAAAAGACGGAAGACAACATTAATTAATACTTCTGACCAACTAAATTGATGTCGTGATTTTCACCTCGATTTTTTTTCATGTGCTATCGATTATTTCTAGAAGGTTTCATGTTTATGAAAAGGTTTTCCCTTGAATAACATCCCTTAATACGTAGTGCATAGTAATCATGAGAAAGATATGGCAGTAGGAATAAAGAATTACGACTACCAAAGAAATAACCACTTCCAAAAAATGTCTGGATTACAAAAACAACGATTAATAAAAGTAATATATAAAATTAATAGTATTCAATATGTATAAAGTAACCGCAACAATTTTAGTCATTAATATTAGCAGTTCGGAACTGTGCTAGTGCCTTCATTGGTGGCATCGGACGTTTTTCCGAGGCTCTACGTACGATTCCATGAGGTTTATTATAAACTCTAACAAGCGGTTGTTTTTGCGGTGGTGCCATTTTCCATTCGACCAGTGATGGTGCTGCCGTATTTTTGCGTCGGTACTGAAATTTGAATTTGTAAAATTCCTTTACATTATAGATTATCGTAGATCACAGCGTTACTATATTTTATAATATATATATATATATATATGATTTCGGCTATAATATGTTCCCAATCTATTGAATCTCTCTAAATGATGTAGTAAGTGTAGTAAGTTCAATATCTTCCTTTTCTTTCTGGCAGTCTATCAAGAAAACCGTAACTGAGTCCCCTTTCCGGGAAAACTCAATTCAGTGTATTTACCATTTCATATTTCCCTGTAGCGCATTTTCTCACTTTGACTGATTAATTTTTATCATTTTATGTAAATAATGCTATTATTCTATTTCATCAATAATTGCTTCATATTCTTTTTGATATATTACTTTTTGAGAATATTTCATAGGAAGGAAATTTTTAGTCTTTATTATTAACTATGCATGAACGTACAATATCACAAAATAGCAAAATGTTGCCATGTCTGCCACATTGATATGAGCTAACAGGTGATTGTCACACAACAATCATTCAATTGATGCTATTCGCACTTCACTATCTAACTTATGGCTTTTCTTTACCAGAATTCATTTCTTAAACAAGCACTACAGCTTCTATATGTTTTGATATGTAAAACATAAACTGAAAAATCTTATCACTAAATCCCACAGAACATTAATCAGCACAGGAAATTTATACTGGAAATATGAGAACCAGATGCTAAGAATGGCTGCCTTCTCTTAGATGTAATTAATTTCTTTATTGCTAAAAATCATGAAAATCTAATTTAAAATTCTTCTAGCGATTGCCCCGATACTGGAAAGGATAAGAAAAGTATACAGATAAGTAGAATCCATTATGCAAACTCAACTGAGTCGTAATACTGCAAAAGTACATAATGCTTTCCTGTGCTTTTGCAGTAATACGATTCAGCTGAGCGAATTGTGAAAAAAAATACCTTGGTACTTGCAATATATGCAGCTTTGACTGTTAACACAACAGCATTCAATAGGTTTCTGGCAGTTTGAATCAGAGACATTGCTGATTCAAGTCCGCTAACTACTAACTCGTTACCAACCTGCTGCACATCTGCCTTCACCTGTAAATATAAAAAAAAATAAATCTTTCTATAAAAACGTAATTTTTTTCTAATTGAAATCTCCACAAAAATAATGGAAGGAAAATGTAAAACAGATATGAAACTCGCAGAATCTCATCGTAGGCAAACTCATAAAATGATAAACCAGTGGAAATTTTTATGTGGTTATAATGAAAATTCCACAAAGTTCATTTTAAAAGCTTAGTTTGTCATCTATATTTGATCTTCTAATTAAACATGGAATATACTTATAAGATTAACTTCCTTGTCTTATTTTCAAAAAAATGCAATTATATTTCTTTTCATTCCACTCATTGCTAAATTAAAGTTTAAGGTGATTTTTCATCACCACCTCACAACACACTACTTATTATAGTACAGTAATTCAGTGAGCGAGGCATACTCTGCTTGTTATATTCAACTGTTGACAGTAGAGAGTTATTCTTTGCAGATATGCAAAAAGGTCCTTTTTTGTTTCACTTTCCACACTTTCATCGCCAATTTGCTTAGCCAAAGAATTTAATTTTGCACCCGCATCGGAAATTTCTTGCGCAGCTTTGATAACATCCATTGTGGTCTTCAAAGGTCCACGACCTCTGTAATTCATATCTCAAAATGAAAAACGCTCATCGATTATCTAAGACACCAATTCAGCACTTCTGATCATCCTAATCTTTGAAGAAAATTCGATGCACAGTAAGCACCTCATTATTTTCTTTATTGTCTTAAAAATTTCTTGAATTACGTTTTGTTTAATTCAACTGAAATATTTAACTGACATCATGATTTAGAAATTTCATTTCATCTTAATTAATTGCTAAGTACGAAGCATTAAATACTGATTTTATGTCATAAAATCTCAAGATACAGCGTTCACACACTTTTCAAAATGCACAGAAAGAAAGAGTGTTTTTTTAAGTACCCATTAAGAAAGACGCACTAAACTTACTATTCATGTTACATAAGATTGAGTAATCAATTGCTTGAAATTTTCAACTTCCAAAAGAACAAACCTGGTAAAATCAGTCATATTCATCATAATCATGCACATATGTTTTGCTAACACGATAATATCATTTCCAGTTTCGTCCCATTTTGCCACTTCTCTTTCAAATTTGCTTTGTGCTATCTAAAATTAGTAGCTATTCTCTTTTTATACTTGACAAATTTAAAAGTGACTACAGTGAGATAATTCCAATGTATATTACAAGGAAATATGAATAAAAAAACCAAACCTTGAAAACATCAATTTGTTCTTGGATTTTTCGTTTTTCTTCCTCCGGTAATCGTCGCATTATTTTTTGTTCATTTTCACCGTCAACTGTTTGACTTCTTGAATCTGGATAGTTTGTTCCAGCATCTGTAACTAGTAAAAGATAAAAAAAAGGAAGCTGTTGTTTACTCTATTGTGTTTAAGCTTCATACCTTCCTCGTACTCATTGTCTGAATCAACATCTTCCGGATTTCGGTTCATTAACAATGCATTTCGTATTTCTTTCACCGCATTGTGAACCAGTTCACTAGCTTCGATAAACTCATCCACATCAACGGCATAATCTCTATTCTCATCAATATTTCCTTCTGCTGCTTCGTTCTCCAATTTGTTAACTATTCTTTCAGCTCGATCAGCAAACTGATTAATCACTAGAATAAGTATGTCTACTATAACTGTTATTAATTATTCTATTTATTGTTATCATCAATAATATTAGCAGTAAATGAAAGCAATACTGTTATAGTCACTCTTCTAATATATCCATCAATTAATGCTCTATCAGTAGATACGGTGTAAAATTCACCGTCGTCTCTGAGTAATTTGGCTGCCATCCGAACACGATCTCTATATGAACTGGCTGCAACTAGGTCCATTTCGGAATCAACCACGTTGCAAACACGTAAAGAACGGCCACGAATACCACCCGCAGACCGATCAAGTAAGTAACCATCTCCATTGATCACAGCCTACAATTTATATGAGACTAACTATTATATCCAGTCCTTGATCACATTATCACTACTTAAGTATATCAAAAGCTTTAATGGAAAGTATTCTGAAAAGATACTTGAATGCCGCTTTTCACATCTTCAATAATATGGGCCTCACTGACAGCCAAAAAGTCATCTACTGTTATCATCGCGTCAACAGCCATCGTCAGCAACTTCACCTAAATAAATTAAACAACTTCAGCTTTATTGTCGTAAGACATCACAATTAACAAATACCACGAAACGGAAATACTTTGCAAGAAAACATTTTAAAAAGGACCTTATAACACCCACCTTATCGATCCATACATTTTTAAAAGTTTCCATATTATCCCTTGCCACCTGACTATCTCTCACGCTTAGTAAATAAGCGGCGTTAACTACCTGCAAAAAACCAGTACTGTCTTTTGCTATTTAATAACATAATTTAAACTTTTATATCACATTATGATGTATATTCTAGAATACAAAAGAAACATATATATACATATAAATCTGATGAGTGTTGTACCGGTTATAATGATCCGGATGTTGCCATACCGGTGACCACGCTGATTGAGGTATGTGGTGAATGGATGGGCTATGATGGCATGATATATATATGTATATACAAGCCTAACGAAAGCATAAAATAATGACAAGTCCATCCATTGTACAACCAGATAAATCCTACTTCCCATAAATAATGGTTCAAGAAACATAGACAAAGTGTTGAATGCTGAATAAATAAAAGTAATAGTAGTAAGAAAAGCACTAAGAAAAAAGACAAAAATACCTGAGGTGCAAGTTTATCAATAATTAAGGCCGCATATCGAATAACACGAATACCATCTTCATTGCTACTCATTGCACATACCAGCTCTGCTGCCTAAATA